CGGCTGCACCGAGCAGCAGGGCGAGCCGCCATAGCAGCAGCGGCGCCGCCCCCATCGACCCGCCCCTGCTCACGTCCCTGATCCTCAAGGCCTCATCACTGCAGCAGCTGCGAGACCTCTGGGACTCCCACGGGGGCGGCGCCAACGCATTCCACATCAGCGCCATGTGCAGGCAGCTTGTACTCCTCGACGGCGCCGCGCCGCCGCGGCCGGGCCCGCCGCGGCAGGGGCCGAGGCAGCGGGCGCGGCGGGAGCAGCGGGAGGGAGGCGGCGGGGACGAGGGAGACTTCACAGAGCAGCAGCAGCAGCAGCAGCAGCAGCAGCAGCAGCGGCAAGCGGGGGACGGAGGGAGCGACGCAGCCGAGGGCGTCAGCGCCGCCGCCATCGCGCGCGACGTCGCGGCGCGCGCGGCGGCGCTGCTGCCGGCCCTCGACGACCGCTGCATCACCAACGTGGTATACCTCCTTGCGAAGCTGTCCGTGCGCGGCCACCCCGCCCTAGGGCCCTGCGCCGCCGAGCTGGGGGCCCGCCTGCCGGCGCTCTCCGCGCAGCACCTGTCGAACTCGATCTGGGCGCTGGCCACGCTCGGCGTCCGCCCGCCGGAGCGGTGGCTGGCCGACTTCTCGGCCGCGGCGGCGGCGCGCATGCCCGAGGCGACGTGTCAGGGCATGGCCAACCAGGCGTGGGCCCTCGCGCGGCTGGGGGCAGACCCAGGAGATGCGTGGTGGGCGGCGCTGTGGGCGGCGAGCGCGCCGCTGCTGCCGGCGGCGCCGCCGGCGGAGCTCGCGATGCTCATCCACGCGGCAGCGCGGCTGCGGCGGCCGCCGCCGCGCGCGTGGCTGGACGCATTCCTGGACGCCGGCTGCGACGGCATGGCGGCGCACTCGCCGCAGGAGCTGACGATGACGGTCTGGGCGCTGGCCGGCCTCGAGGCTGCGCCCCACAAGGCCTGGCTGATGGGGTTCTTCGTCGTTTCGCTCGGCGCCATGCGGGCCGCCACGACGCAGGTGCGCCGCGGGGGCACGCGTCTCCCTTCACTCAACGCCGACGGCCCCTCAGCTGCTGCTGCCGCTGCTGCCTCGCCGGCTGACGCTGCGTTGCGTTGCGGGGTCATTCGGAGCGCTGCTGCTGCACTCATCCCCTTCTGTGGCTTCATCTCCCCGCTTACTCCCCTCGCCTTCTCTTCCCTTTCGTCGCGGCCCGCCGCCCCACCCTACTCCACCGCACCTCCCCGCTCCCTACTCCACGCACCCACCGACCACCCCCACTCGACCCTCCCTGACCCGCCACACCTCTCACCACTCCCTCGCGACTCCCTCCCCTCCAACCAAACACCCACCCATCACCAACCGCTACCCAGGACCTCTCCATATGGCTCTACTCATTGGCTCGCCTGGACTACCGCCCCAGCCGCGTCTGGCTGGAGGCCTTTGTCACCGCCACCTACGACCGCCTGCCCAGCTTCCCGCCGCAAGAGCTGTCGAACCTGCTGTGGTCCCTCGCGCGCATGGGCTGGGCGCCGCCGGTGCGCTACTGGTCGCGCGCGCTGGAGTGCGCGCGGCGGGCGTTCAAAGCGGCCAACGCGCAGGACATTGGCGTCATGGCTTACTCAGGTGGGGGCGGGATTACGGGGCTAGAGCATCTGGGTCCTTTGCTTGCGTGAGCCTCCAGTGCTTGGCGGTACGAGCATGAGTCACGGCAATGGGAGCTTCCGATCGGTCGCGACGCTGCGAAGCGGCTGCTGCGAGGTGTTGCTGGAAGCGCTGCGTTCAGGGCCGGTCGGCACAGCCATCGCGCCGCAGCCGGAAAGAAGCGGGCAACAGAGCATGTGCGATTGCGCCGGCCCGATGCGCCCCTGGCACCCGGCGCGCCGCCGTCCGGGCCCAGCCCGGACGCAGAGCGCTCCCGGCCCCCCTGGGCCCGCAGACACCCAACGACATCGAAACCAAATGCGCCCCTTCCAACCCCCTTACACCCCAGTCGCGTGCCTCGAGGCCGGGCTCCCCTCCGACGAGTGGCTGGCGGATCTGGAGCGCTTCTCGCAGCCGCTGCTGCCCTCATGCACCGACCTGCAGCTCGGCCACCTCAGCTGGGCGATGCACCGCCTCGGCCGCCGCCCCGCGCGCCCCTGGCTCGACACCTTCGCTTCCGCCGCCGGCGCGCTGCTCGCCGCCGGCGCGTTCAGGCGCGTGCCGCTCGCAATGGCGCTGCACGGCGCGGACGGCTGGGGCGCGGTCGCGCCGGGACGGGAGGCGCGGTGGGACGGGTTCCTGGCCGCGGCGCGGGCGCGGCTGCAGCAGCTCAACGTGGAGCACGGGCGGCGGCGGGCGCAGGAATGGTGGGACTCGCTGCCACAGGATGCTGAACATGGAGGTGGCGGCGGCGGCGGCGGCATCGGCGGCGGCGGCAGCGGCGGCGGCGGCAGCGGCGGCGGCGGCGGGCGGGACGGCCCAGAAATGGCGGAGGGGCAGGCAGAGTGGGCGGCGGCGGCGGCGGAGACGGCGGCAGCTGCCGCCGCCGCCTCCCAGCCTCACCCGCCGTGGCAGGGGCAGCCGGGCGGCCCTGGATTGGACGGAGCCACTCGGACAGCGGCAGAGGGCGGGGCCCAGGGGCGACCGGGCCCTGGCCGCGGCCTGAGGCGGCCCGCGCGGGGTGCGGCGCGAGGCCTGGGGCTGCGCGGGGGCGGCTCCAGCGGCCGATCGAGGGGCGGCAAGGGCGGCGACCGCGGCACAGAGGAGGCCTCTGAATGGGAGCCTCGCGGGTGGCCGTGACTTGCTGGCGGGTGACTGCACTGCTGCTGCTGTCCTGCAGAATCCATTGGCTTGGCATCACATATCACATGTTGCTTCTCGGCGCTGGAAGATCGCGCCTGCTGCATGCCATGCATGGCCCTGCAGGCCGCACTTGCGCCCCTTGGCACGTAGCCGCCTGCTGGTCACTCGCGAGACCGCAACCGAGCTTAGCTCAAGCTGTGTCACTAGTGTTACAACTGGTCACCATGGTTCAATAGTCAGGGTGCTTTTGCCACCTCCCTACAAGTCCACTTTACAAAATGTGGTTGTCCTGCAGTGGCACTTGTATGCAACACGATGACGAAGCAAACGCCGACACGCCTGGGCATGCAAGCCCCAAAACAACCATTTTAAACTTGGCAGGAACGCCGCGATCGCTGGATTCCACCCCTGCATCCGAGGCAACAGACAGGGCAGGAAACATACGACACCTGCAGCCCTTGTGCTGCCCTCACGCCCCAACCGCCGCCGCCGCCGCTGCACCTGCAAACTCCTCCGCGCTGCTGATGCTCCAGGTGGCGCCGATTGTGGGCCCTTGTGGGGGCCCGAGCTGCAGCACGCGGCGGTGGTAGCGCACCAACGTGGGGCGGTGGCCCACGCTGATGAGGGTTGTGCCGCTGGCCAGGACCGCCTGGGGGTGGGGGAGGGGATGTGCGCGGTTGCAGGTGGGACGGGCGCCAGGGGTGGTGGGAGAGAGGCCTGACGCGACGGCTGGATGAGAGTGATAGTGTGTCAAGCAAGCGCACGGCCCAGGGTTGTCGTGCATCGTGGCCTCGACGCAGGGGAGCATCGGCCGCATGGGCTGGTCGATCACGCACGGCGGCGTCCCTCAGCCTGCCTGTGGCGCCCACCACAGTCCAGGATAGTCGTCACCCCAAAACCCACGCTTCCCATCTCACCCTATGCCGCCCTACACCCCTCCGCTCTTCTTGGTCGCCTTCACCCTGACCCCAGTCACCCCCGGCCTAAAATAGTATTAACCCAAATTGTATCTGCATATCTGCCCCAGCTTGATGGTTGCAGCAGAGCCCCCACACCTGGTACAGCAGGGCCTCGTTGGCTGTGTCCAGGGCTGACGTGGCCTCGTCCAGCAGCGCCAGCCGCGGCGCAGTCAGCAGCAGCCGCGCGAACGCCAGCCGCTGCTGCTCACCCAGGGACAGCAGCTGGGACCAGTCCGCGACACAGTCCAGCGGACTGCCGCGACCGGCGCCGACGTTGATGCCCGTGCCGCCGCCGGCGGCGTTGCCCTCGCCTCCGTCGCTGCTGCTGCTGCCGCTGCTGATGCCGCTGCCGCCGCCGCTGGTGTTGCTGCTGCTGCTGCCGGCCGCCGCCACCGCCGCCCTGCACCTGTCCAGCAGCGAGCCAAGCTGCACCCGCCGCAGCACCTCCTCCATCTGAGCCTCTCCGGGGGGCGGCACCTGGCGGCAGCCGCAGTAGCAGCGCGTGGTGGGGGCAGTCAACATGGTCATGAGCAGTCACATTGCGTTGCAATTGAGAGCTGTCGTTTTAGAGTGCGGGCAGCGATTGAATGGGCGCTCGGCAATGGGTGCGTTCGCGGCCGCGTGTCCCGTGCACACCGTTAGTGCGGCACAGATCGCACGCCGCCGTTGCCGCGCAAATCGGTCGCCAATTCACTTTCGGCTCACCGTGTGCTTGGGTGCGCCGTTGCCGTTGCCATTGCTGCTGCTGCCGCGCTCGCTCCACGTAGGGTACAGCAGCTGGTCCCGCAGGGAGCCCAGCACCATGTAGGGCTTCTGGGGCAGGAACAGCACGCTGCCGGGCTGGCAGCCGGGGTCACCCAGTCCGGGCAGTCCGTAGCTCAGGACAGAGCCGCCGCCGGCCTGCAGTCAGGTGCATTTGGGAGAAGTTTCAGAACTTGCTTTGGGACAGCAAAATCTGCAGAATCCGAGGCGATTGGTGGTGTGGCATGCACCAGAGCGCTTGTATGCAGGTAAAACAGGCCAGTCCACCCATTCGCATTCAGGGGGGGGGGACGTCAGCGCAGAATAGCTGCAAATCGCAAGCCAACAAGCGGAACCAGAGAACTGTCTGCACGCTTTGCGGCCTCTGACCCTCTCACCCCCACACCCTAAACCCTGACTCTGACCCTGACCCTAAACCCTGACCCTTGCACCCTCGCACCCTAAACCGTGACCCGCGGATCCTCTGAATCGGTGCCCCCGGGTGCCCAGAAGCGCACCTGCCACAGCCCTGCGAGGGCGCGCAGCACAGAGGTCTTGCCCGCGCCAGAGGGGCCCACGATGAGGAGCGACTCGCCGGCCCGCACCTGCGGCGGGGGATGGGCGGGAGCCCGTAAGTGATGTGTTGTTGGGGGCTGCGGCTGGCGTCGAAGCGCCTGGGAGAGGGCACTCAGAGGTTCGGAACACTCCTTCCTGCTTGCAGGGACCACACTCACTACCAAACCACCACTGCCGCAACCACTGCACAATCACAGCCCCCGCACGCCCACATGAACACCACGGCGACACACACACACACACACACACACACACACACGCGCCCCCGCACGAACACCTGACCCGTCACACACCCCCATACCCTCACGCCCCAATCAAACCCTCCACACCTCGAGGTTCAGGTCTTGCGCCAGCTTCGACGACCCATCAGGCGTGCTGATGCACAGCCCCCGAAGCTCCAGCAGCAGCTCCCCTTTGCCGCCCCCGCCCGCCACCGGCCCCATGTGCATGATGGTGATGCCCCCCGGCCCCGCCTCCGCCGCCGCCTCCGTCGACGCCGCCGTCCGCCGCCCGGCGGGCGCCGCCGCCGCTGCCGCCGCCGCCGCCACCGCTGCCCCCTCGCCGACCTTGGCGGCGGCCGCGCCGCTCTCCCCCTCGATCGTGAACACGTGGCGGAGCTTCACATCTGACACCTCCGAAAACTCCCCCAGGCGGTCTATGACGGCGCTGAAGCCCGCGAGGGACTCGAACTGGTAGACAACGAGCGACACGTCCGACAGGATGTGGTTGAACGCCGACTGGGACTGGTTGATGACGCCGAAATCGATCTTGCCCTGGAAGAACAGGGGCGCCACCACCGCGGCTGGCAGCAGCTGGATGATGAAACTGCCAGGGGGAGGGTAGGGGGGGCAGGTGGGGGGGTGGTTGAGGATGGGGCTTTGCATCCAATTTGCGGCTCAGTGTGGTTCAAAACTACGCCAAGGCAGAGTGAATGAGACGGGTTCACACTGTGTACAAGATTGCACGTCCCAAGAGGGACAGGGATTTGACAAACGGCACGGCGCGAAAAGCAGGCGAGCGGAGCAACAAGGCGGTGTGTGAGGCGCATCCGTGCCGAAGTCCGGACAGCGCTAGAGTGACAGGCCATGCAGTCGCTGCAGGCTTCGTCCACGGGTGCTGTAGGGACGTTTTGCCTCCCGCTCCCCACGCGCCCCCTGCCGCCCTCACCGGTAGAAGGATGTGAAGAAGTCGAGGTTGCGGCTGTTGACCAGCAGCGTGCTGTAGTTCGACACCACCCCTTGGAGCCGCTGCGGGGAGGGGGGATGAAATTGGTGGGCAGGGGAAGGGCCGTCGCTTGTCGCGGCCGTGGAAGGGGTGGCTGAGGGGTCGAGTGGGGTTTGGGGGTGGGGGTGCGCGCGCAACCACCCCGAGGTCGGCCATGCAGGGCAGGGAGGCTTCTGGTTCGCGCGGCCTCGAAGCGCCGCGCGCCGGGCCAACACCATCCCAAACAACCCCATCTCAAGCCTTCATGCAGGCCCCGCGCCCGCACACAAGCCCACTGACTCTCTGGACTCGATTCAACCCCTACTGCCGCTCTCCTCTCCTCCTCTCTCACCCCTTCAGGCGGCACCCATGCT